GAAATAAGAACCATTTTTTAAAAAGAAAGAGAAATGGAAACCAGTTCTGATTATTTTCATGACAGCTAAATGTAATGCCTAATCCCTGATTAGAAGACATTGCTATAAAGAACATTATAGAAACAATTAGATGATATATCTGTGCTAAATATTCCTCATTTTAAGAATTACATTGTAGTTATATAGAGAATGTACTTATTATGAGTGATGTGCTGCAGTATTAGAAGTGTCAGAAAGTCAGCCACTTACTTTCAAATGGTTCAGCAAAATTTAAACACATCTTACATATTTATAATTACATATTACATTAATATATGACATGTGTACATGGTAACACAAGCTAGATGCAAGGTTTATAGATTTTCATTGTGCTTTCCTACACTTTCTTGTAGGCTTGATATTCTTCAAATTAAAAATTATTTTGATTATATACTATTTCATTAGTTAATTTTTATTTATTACAAATGTCAAAGTTAATGGTTGGGGAAATCTTCAGAACCCCTCAGTGATCTTTAGGCAAAATTCAAACACTTACTTGACCTGAAAGATTTTAATATAGACGTCCTTTCCTATCTCCATCCCCTTCATGCATGTTATTTAAGCTACTCAGAAACTGGACATTTTCTGTAAGTTATTTCCTTTGTGTGGAGTATTATTCTGTTTAATCCCTTTCAACCAGTACTATTTGAACTTCAAGATTCTGCTTAAGGCAACATTGGTCCCCAAGTTTCCCTGCTTTTCCTCCAGCATTTAGAAGAGGCTCCCTCTGCGTTCCTTTGGTGCCCTCTATAGTTAGTTATTTTCATAGCTCTGTTTCTCACACTACCCTGTTTACATTTATTAACAACTATATTAACAAGTACACAGCCATTATGTAGTAATTTACATTGTTCATTAAATGTAGACTCTGAAAATAGGAGACTTTTTGTTTGTTTAGTTCACTTCTGAACTTTCAACTGTCTAGTACAGTGTCAGGCTTATTTTAAGAGTCCAATAAATATTTAAGCCAATAATTCAGTGAATGATCAAATACATAACAGAGTGAATGAATGATTAAAACCAACAAAATATATTTCTCTCCCCAGGTTTCCAGTATACTAAATATGGGTGTCGCAGAAAAAGTGATAATAAAATGGTTCATCGGAATTTCTGTGAGGCCAACAAAAAACCAAAACCTATTAGAAGAATATGCAATATTCAAGAGTGTACACATCCACTGTAAGTATTTAATAACTGTCCTATCCTACAGACAAAACTAATTTAAGTGCTTCAACTCTTTGTAGTTTTGCTTTTATTTTTAGTCAAAGTTAATATATGAGCCTGGTTGTGTTAATCTGATAATTTCATGGTAATCACATAAAGCTGCCTCCACCATATTCCTGCTCCTCAAAAACAATCCCTTTCAGCTGTGATGCTTCTTTTGATATTTGGTGACTATTCTCATTTGCCATGTAAAGTGTCTTTGCTTCTACTTGTTGTAGTTTGAGGGGGGACATGGAGGGATAGAAATTCTGGATATTGAATTTTTCACTATGGATTGTGACCACGTAGTGTTTTTTTCACAGTCCTGCCCCCAGTCTATCCCTATAGCCCACACTTCTCTTTTGCCCAGTATTTCTAATACTGTGTAACCTATTCATTAATGTTAATATTCCATTTATATTATTTAATGACAGTTGAAACTTTGTAACTGTTTGATACATGCATCCTTCTGGAACTGCTTCCAGAAGTCAGTGCACCTCCTGGGTTGCACATCTCTCAGACAGCAGCAAAGGCTAGACTTGTTGTGTGGAAAGGTGCGCTGTGCACCCCAGTGACCGTGCACCATCTCATCCCCCAAACCTGTAGCTGGGTAGCGGAAGAGTGGGAGCACTGCACCAAAACCTGTGGGAGCTCGGGTTATCAGCTTCGCACCGTCCGCTGCCTTCAGCCTCTCCACGATGGCACCAACCGCTCTGTGCACAGCAAGTACTGCGTGGGGGACCGGCCCGAGAGCCGCCGGCCTTGTAACCGCCTGCCCTGCCCAGCGCAGTGGAAAACAGGACCCTGGAATGAGGTGGGTGCGTGAATTCCACCGTGCAAAGGCAGATGTGCATGTGTGTGTAAGCATGTGCCTCAGAGGCTAACTGGACTTAGACATCAGGTTTTGTGTCCACAGATAACTTGTCACATATTTTGGGCCTCGAGTTATCAGCAAAAACTATTATTTTAAAACAGTACTGCTGATGTAATCCTGATGGTTCAAATATCAAATCAATATGACAGTATTTGCTTCTAAAGTTAGTTGCTAATTCCCAAAGTTGGGTATTTTGTGCCATATAGGAGCCTAATGGTGAATGATCTTCTAGCTTTGGTCACTTCGCTATTTCTACAACTGGTCCTGTACTGAGTCTTCTTATTTTATCTGTCTTCATTTTAACTCTTGACCCAGCTTGCATAAACGTCTCAAGATTCCACAGAGTCCATGCTTTCTGAGCCTCCTGCCTTTTGGTTGGCTTGACTTCCCCTTCCTCCTACCACCACCCTCTAAGGCTCATCTCCATGGTCCAGTACAGCTTTTAGGTGTGCACTACCAGCACTTCTCCTGCCTTCCAAAGACAGAGGCTGACCTCCAGGGATCTCACAGCAGTGCAGTGTCTTTGATTGAGCCTCAGCTCTAATCCACACATTTCTCACCCAGTCAGTGTCTGTCTAAATGACAGACAGTTAATTCAGTGGCTGGTTGAATCAGTGTTTTGTTGCCTGTGTTAATGACACATCTCTGCATTTCTTAACACTCAAAATAGCGAATCATGGGTTCATAGGAAAAAAGCTTTCAAGAAGGAAGTTATCAAAAAGTTTATAGGGAATGAAGGAGGAAATGGAGAGCAGGCCGGGAAGGAGGGAACAGGCAAATGAAGGACCTTCCAGGATATCTCCCGTCTCCATGGGGTCCTTTAACAAGGCCCTTACTTTATAGCAGAGATATTTCTGGTTAGTTAGTTTTAAAGCAATTATCTCCTTCACTAAAGAAATTAATTTATGGACTACTAGTAGTCCCAACGAGCTTAAATTAACCAATGTAGCATGCCAGTAAATTCTGCCATTCATAAGGTAGTCAAAGACTGGAAAGCTCAGTACCAGGATCGGTTCCCTGAAGACAGACTCTACAACTGTGTTTAGGAGCCATGCACGTGTTCCCATTGTAATAATGGCTTCATTATATCCAGCACCTATATATGCCAGGCCAGTTGTATCACATGCATTGTCTCCTTTGCCACCATTCAGTCCTACAATTCTCCTCTGAGGCAAGTATTTTTACCCCAGCTTAGAGAAAGGGAATGTGTCTAGGCCGGTGAAGGATGGACTCAAAGGATCATACTGGGTTTATCTGTTTCCAAAACCACTGAGCCACATCACATCCACAGAGAAAGAACTTCAGAGCTCTGTGTGCGTGTGAACATATATGCACGCTAAGCGTGGGGAAAGAAAGACTTTCATGGAATGAAGGTCACTAATTAAAGCCATTGTTTCTGCAGTGTTCGGTGACCTGTGGTGAAGGGACGGAGGTGAGGCAGGTCTTGTGCAGGGCTGGGGACCTCTGTGAAGGTGAAAAGCCAGAGTCAGTAAGAACCTGTCAGCTGCCTCCCTGCCATGGTAAGTGTGAACCTGGTTCATTTCACTGGCCTGACAATGACATTTAAATCTCAAAAAATGGATAGGCTTTTCAAGACAATCTCTGGAGTTTCTCCATGGTTATTGTAGCAGTAGGATTGCTTCCATGTTACAGCAAAAACCATTCACTAAAAATTTAAGAATAGTCACAATTAAAGTATGACCATTGAATTGTATTCTCTTTTTAAAATTAATTGTTAACTTACCGAACTGCTCACCCTATTATCCTCTCTTTGTGATGAAGCATTAACTGGATCCAATTGCATTCCTAGAAACTTAAAAAACTGATTCTGTTACATCTCTCATAAAATTCTCTGTGTCCCTGTGAGGTTGATTGGGGCAGCAGAAACAAATCTGCTGATTGCTGAAGAGAACACCCTGCTGAGAAAGCCGAACACCTTGCCTCCTGTCCCTAGACTGCCTGCCTCCTGGAGGAGCTGGGGGGACCTAAAGGGGAGAACAGGGACTGTTAACAGAGACTATAGAACTAGCTGTGCAGATTTCACAAGGCTAGAAACCAAGGTGAGGATAGAAATAATTAACCAACCCAACTCCAAAGCGAGAAATTCCACCTAAGAAAAATATAAAAAACCATCCCTGTTCTTTTAAAAGCACAACCTTTGCCTGCTTATGTCTATGCAAGTGTCTTCTTGTCTTAATAAAACGACCATTGGGCCCTCCCTGGTGGCGCAATAGGTTAAAGTGCAGCACTGCGAAGCTAAAGCTGCTTCAGCACGAGTTCAATCCCCGGCCAGAGAGATGACCCACATGGCGTGGCAGGCTTCTCTTGGCCCTCCCCTCAGCAGTGTGCATCGTCAGTCTTCCTGTTCTGCTCCCCACTCTGTCTCTGGTGAATCTTCTCATCTCCCCTGCACCTTGGCCTGTACCCCAGTTCTGTATGCGTAAATAAATCAATCTTAAAAAAAGTAAAATAAAACCACTATTATCAGTTAAGTTGAATTTGTTGGGTTCATTCTCAGAGGGGTCCAAGAGCCTCATTGTGTCCCAATCATGCTTACCCACCAGAAGTAAGCTGTTGCCTGAATATTGTCATCTCCCAATGGCACTTTCTTTTCCTGCAATACAATTGGCATATTTTATCAAAAGGCTTCTTTGTTTTGAAATTTCAGTAGAAACAATAGAAATAGCAAAGTTATTTCATTATAAATTTTCATTTAAAATTTGGTGGCATGAACAAGTTTAACCATATGGGGGAGACAAAGGAATTTATATTTAATCAATTTTTGTTGCAAAGTATATTTGGAAGTTTCAAACACAACAGGACAGACTTCCCCAGTTAAAAGTTAGAAGGTCACTCTTGCTGTAAGACTTTATTCTTATGAAGGCATTACTGTCAGGCATTACCAAACACAGAGAATCACTTTTATTGATCTGAATTTCCTGATAGAGCTATATATTTCAGGGGATATGTCCAATTTGTGTGCAACAGTTTGCTTGGTTCTCTCCTGTAAGCCAAAAGAAAATGCTTTTATTATAAAATGAAGGTGTTGAGATGACACAATTATTCTAGTGATAAGCCCATGTCAATTCTAAGAATTCTAAAAGTGCACCATATTTCTACCATATTGCAAACAAATAAGTACTACTTCCCATTATTCTCCAGTAGCAATTAGAATCAAATAACATTTGAGGCCACATGTAAATCATTTTCCTGAACCTCTCATAATGATTTAGGCATAGAGTGAGAAGCTAAAAAACTCCCTCCAGGCCCTCCCTGGTGGCACAGCGGGTTAAAGCACAGCACTAAGAAGCTTAAGCCACTTCAGCATGAGTTTGATCCCCGCCTGCCCCAGAGGAGATCCACACATGGCAGACCTCTCCTGACCCGCCTGCTGCTCCCCTCAGCAGTGTACTTCGTCAATCTGCCTGTTCTGCTCCCCACTCTGTCCCTGGTGGCACAGCGGGTTAAAGCACAGCACTAAGAAGCTTAAGCCACTTCAGCATGAGTTTGATCCCCGCCTGCCCCAGAGGAGATCCACACGTGGCAGACCTCTCCTGACCCGCCTGCTGCTCCCCTCATCAGTGTACATCGTCGATCTGCCTGTTCTGCTCCCCACTCTGTCCCTGGTGATTCCTCTCACCCTCCGCATCTCTGGCCTGTACCCCAGTTCTGTATAAATAAATATATCTTTAAAAAAAAAAACTCCCTCCATTTTAATAATTGATTTTGTCAAAATTATTCCTTTCTTTAGACCCATTAAGTCCTTCCCATCTATCCCTAGGCAGACTGCCATAAAATAAATGTATTCCTTTGTTCTTCTGTGTTTTGTCTCAGAACCTGTCCCCTTTCCTGCCCCACACTGAGGTGTATTCTGGCCCTAATTAGAAGCAGATGTGATCCGATCTCTGCAGAGCGGAGCCACAACACGGAAGTTCCATCGCTGAGCTGGGTCACAGAAAGGGGGTGACAGGAGTGATAGTCAGAAGGTAAAAAGCAGTATTGGGTCAAATAAGGTCCTTTCAGCCTAGGGCCTGAAGTCCTAAACATAGAGGAAAAAGAAATTAATTTTCTTGTTCCAAGATAATAAACATAGAAAAAGTCATTCAGATATGATGATTAATTCATATTTGAGATGAAACCTATTAATGTGGTTCTCACACATTTACAACATAATTAGCTGAATATCTTAACAATACAGAATAATCAAGCGCAGAATACTCTATAATCTGCAAATGTGAAGCAAATACAAGTCATTCTACAATTTGGGGAGTGGAGATGGTATTATGACTAAGAAAGATGGACATTCAGCCTTGCCGATTGAGCCTCCTCTGTTTTACCCAGACTTTAGAAAAAAAAGGCAAATTCTTTGGCAAGCAGTAGAGCAGCTTCCTTGCCTAACAATATGATGTCATCCAATATTACATTGCAGTTGTAAGTGGTATTGTAGGGTCAATGAACTGGCCCCGTGCCCATCACCGCAGCCTTGATGGTGTTAACGCATAAGGTGCTTGGGAGCGCGGTGTGGGACATGGCCTATTGCTTGCCAAAGAATTTGGCTCTTTTTTCTAAAGTCTGAGTAAAACAGAGGAGGCTCAATCGGCAAGGCTGAATGTCCATCTTTCTGGCATGCATGACTGGTGTGCTGGTGTGCCTGGCTCCCTGAAAGCATTAAAACCTGGAAATCCACCGAAGGCTCTTGGGGTCTGCTGGACTCTCCTTTTCCTTCTGCCCAAAGAGATAGTGAACCTGCCTGTGTTTGTTGGTTGGTGCTACACATATACCACTGTCACACTTTCCAGATCCTTGTCCTTGTCAGTTAGGTCTGGGGCCCATATTTCTGTGTTGCACTGTGTCTATGGGCTATGCATAGCGTGAGCCCTGGGTGGACTGAAAATAAGCACAAACCTAACATTATCATGAGCTCAACATTTGCAATTTGAAATTTTAATTCTTACAACCTGTAATCAATACAATTAAAAAAATAGAAATAGAAAGAGCACATACACATGCATTAAGTATTTTATGTTACGTTAGATGTCTCAGATGACTTGTGAGGGTTACCTGAGTCAGCTTTAAACATAACATGCTACCAATTCAATGAAATTAAATTTATGAACCATGAATTGTTCATTAAAAAGTTGGCACACTTCATACAAATTTGTTTTTCAAGTAGCAATGACCTGAAAATATTCACTAATGAGCATGAAGCTATTGTAGTCATATCTTGGTTTTTCTCTTGGTAATACATTTTTAAGATTTAGTTTGTTACAGTAGGTCTTTAGTATTCATTTGAAACTTAATACAGAGCCTGTTTTATTATAAATACCATAAACTATAAAAGCAGATGCCTTTTTTAAAAAAAAGATTTATTTTTTTATGCATATAGAACTGGGGTACAGGCCAGAAGTGCAGGGGCGGTGGATTCACCAGAGACAGAGTGGGGAGCAAAACAGTCAGATTGATGAAGTGTGCTGCTGATGGGAGCAGTGGGAAGGTCAGGGGAGCTCAGCCGCGCCAAACTCTGGGGCGGGCGGGGATCGAACTCATGCTGAAGTGGCTTCTATCTTCCCAGTGCTGTGCTTTAACCCGCTGCATCACCAGGGAGGGCCTGCAGATGCCTTTTTATATCCTAAAAATGTTCATGGTAAATCATCCCATTTTCTTATGCTAAAATCACATATATGTTCATAGCAGGAAGGAAAAAACACTCTTCATCCGAAGACTCAAGATGGAAATTGTAAATGGTGGTCAATCCAAGCACTTCACACATAAAGAACTGCTATTTCAGTGAATTCGTTTTTGTTTTTTTAATATAGTGGTTCACACGAATATTCCATCAATCTCAGATTTTACCTGTCTTTATATTCATAAACAATGATTATTGTTAATTTCGCTTTCCCTTTGATTTATGTGTAAGTGTATGTTTTATTTTGTTTCCTATTAACTTTTATAGATGAGCCATGTCTGGGAGATAAATCAATATTCTGTCAAATGGAGGTGCTGGCCCGCTACTGCTCCATACCAGGTTATAACAAATTATGCTGTGAGTCATGTAGCAAGCACAGCAGCACCCTGCCACCCCCATACCTTCCAGAAGCTGCTGAAACGCATGATGATGCTATCTTTAACCCCAGTGACCTCCCTGGATCACTCATGATGCCGACATCTTTGGTTCCATACCACTCAGAGACTCCTGCTGACAAGAAGAAATCTTTGAGTAGGATCTCATCAGTGGGAGGTTCAGATGCATACGCTGCTTTTAGGCCAGGTAGTAAACCTGATGGTGCTAACTTACCCCAGAGGAGAGCTCAGCCAACTGCAAGCAAGACTCCGAGACTGGCCTCCTCACCCACCAAGGGTGACCACCTCAATTCATCTTCACACATGGCTGCGGCCCCTTTCCTTGCAGTCAGTGATTCCTTAGGTGCTGCTGCTTCTCAGGCAAGAACCTCAAAGAAGGATGAAAAACTTATTGACAAGAGACGCCCAATAAGATCATCCACCTTAGAAAGATGAGAACATGAACTGAAAAGACTGAATGTAAGAGGAAAATCTGGACAAGCTCCCCCTGCCCGTGGTACACCGCCTGTTTTAAGTAGAACTCTCTATAGTCAGCTCATTCTACCCATAAGTGGAAGAACAAAAAGTGCTGGTTCACTTTCTAATTGCTTTCGTCCTCCTTTTATTCTGCATTGACTCATTTCCCAGAAATCATTGGAAGAAAAGCACCAAAGATTATTAACAGAAGGAAAGTAACTCTCTAAAGCAGAAAAGGGACTGGAACCAATTATGCATATCAGCTGATTTTTTGTTTTAAAAAAGTTACAGTAGAAATAAGAAAGAGGTGCCAATGGTTTACACTTTAACAAAAGGTTTTGAAAATAGAACAAAAAATTCTTAGACTTGCATTCCTATTTATCTATATTAGAAACATTGTATGAGCAGTTTTGCAGCTATTGTGTAAATACTGTATATTGCAAAAATCAGTATTATTTTAAGAGATGTGTTCTCAAATGATTGTTTACTATATTACATTTCTGGATGTTCTAGGTGCCTGTCATTGAGTATTGCCTTATTTGACATTCTATGAGTTGATTTTCAAAGCAGAATATTACAGAGAAGAAATCAGACTTTCAGCTACTGATTATACAAAGGGTTTTGTCGTGTGGTTTGTTTAATCAACACCATGACACCTGTAATACAGAAAGAGAAAAAACATAAGCTGCAGATATACAGATTTTTGTCTTACTTATTACCCTCCATTCTTTAAATAAAATAGAATAGGATCGATGTCTTAGTATACTTTTGGTCATAGGAAACATACCGATAAAAAGCCTGTTCAGGACAAAGCTAACACTTTCTTATCAGGACCTCAAAAGATGCTATTGAAGTGCTCTGTGTTCTTTGTTTTTATTTCCTCATTGTTGACATATACAAAAGGATATACTCAGTGTACTGTAATTATAACAGAGGAAAAGGATCGTTTGTTTGATTATTGGTAGCTGAGATAAGCATCATAAAATCAGAATTGATACTCAAGGATACGGTAGGGTTTTGGAAGCAGGTTCAAGACAGCATTTGTCAATGGTTGCGATATTTATTTTCCGCATGGTTCATATTCAAATGTTCACAACCACAATGCATCTGACTGCAATAATGTGCTAGTAATTTATGTCAGTGGTCGTCTTGCTCACAGTGAAGCCAGAAATGCTCTCTCCAGGGAGTAGATGTAAAGTATTGTATATAGAATTCAGAACTGAAGATATTTATTGAATGTTGATTTTTTTTCTTGATAGTATTTTTATGTACTAAATATTTACGCTAATATCAATGACATATTTTGGTAAACTAGAGAGACCTAATTAGAGATGCATGCTTTGTTCTGTGCATAGAGAAGAAATATAAGCAAACTAAGGCAGCCAAATTGAAAAGCTAAAGTTGAACAAATTTGATGTTATGCATTTTTAGAGTAGTTGATACAAAATTGATGATATGTTCCCTTTCAATGGAAAGGTAAAATAGTATGGACTCAGATAGCTAGCTATTTAATGATAGTAAATTAGAAACATTTAAAAGATATGTGAAATAGATAAGGACTCATGAATTACACTTAAATGAAAAATGAAAGATGCATTGTTCCATAACGTTTTTGACTTCAGCTCCTAAACTGTCCAAAAGTTATTTTGGAAAATAAAATGTAGACATGCTAACCTCTCAAAGCACAGAATGTGCAGACTTCTGCAGTTTTAATAATGGTAAACTCACAGCTTCACCTGTTGACTCTCTATACCTCTAAAGAATAGCTGCTACTTTATGCAAGACTTTTGAAAGTCACATGAATTAGGTGAATTCATTAACCAATCCCAGATTCTCAAGTAGAAGTCTTTTTAATTTTTTTTTCTAAAATTTTCCCCAGGATGAAATTCTCTCTAGTTTGCTTGTGTGTGCATATGTCTATATCACCAGGGGAATATTAGAGAAAGCTGGTCTCACACATACACCTCCCTTAAGGATGTACATACTCGTTTCACTGCTGATCATTGGGCTTCCTTTGCTACTAAGCTAAAAATCCCTTTTTATCAAAGTGTACACTACTGATGCTGTTTGTTGTATTGGGAGCACGTAGCAATAAAAATGTTAACAAAATACACATCTGACTCAATCTAGATTTTTATTATTAGATTCATCATGAATTCATAGAAATGTATTCTTCCCTCCTACAAAGTGAAATGGCATCCAGTTCATTTACTACTTGGACTTTCTCTAAAGAGGCTCAACTAAAGTGGCAGTGTCTCCTCCTGGTGTATCATAATATATTTTAAAAACAATTTAAAAAACAAACTAAGCTTTTGGGGCAGGGGTGGCTTATTCTTAAGTTTGTCCCACAGAACTGTGAAATGGCAGAGAAAACGTGATAAAATGCTAGCAAACATGAGAAGGAAAAGGGGTTTTCTAAATGTGTGATACCAGAGTGTTTTATTTTTATAATTTTTTAAAGATTTATTTTTATTTATTCATACAGAACTGGGGTACAAGGCAGAGGTGCAGGGGCAGTGAGAAACTTCACCAGAGACAGAGTGGGGAGCAAAACAGGCAGATCGACAAGATACACTGCTGAGGGGAGCAGTGGGTGGGTCAGGAGAGGTCTGCCACGCCATGTGGGTCACCTCCAGGCCAGGGATCGAACTCGTACTGAAGTGGCTGCGGCTCGCTTACAGTGCTGTGTCCTAACCCATTGCGCCACCAGGGGAGACCCCCAGTGTGGCTTTAAAGAAAAGCTGGCCACCGGTTTGGAACCCGGGTTGGAAGGAACACACAACCCCCACAACTCAGTCCGTGGGGAGATGGAACATCACAGTGGAGGTCTTTCATATAACCAGTGCAGTAGGGAGAAATATTGGGGTGAAGCCAGAGGTGCTGAGGGTAGAAGAACTTACCCGAGACAGAGTGGAAAACAGAAATATATTAAGAGAAGCAGCTGGCAACACAGTGAGGATTTGAGGCTTTTATATTCTGTTTTCGTGGGCTTTCTAACTTGGGGTGCCAGTTTGCACCAGCTTTCTACTAGGACACTGGCCTTTGGCAAAGAAACATGCCCTGAGCTCTGCTACGTTCCTGGAGCTGGGCTGGTCTTTCTGGTCATCGTGGTAGCTCTTATATGGCCTTGTCCCCAAAGCAACCTTCTAGACTCCCTTATTGTAGGCTAAAGGGAAGTTAATCAGGTTTCCTCTCCTCCCATTAGCATCAATGATGGACACCTGTGTTCCATCATGCACGCCTGATGGCAGCACCTGGAGCGTGGTGGGCTGGCACAAGTGGGTGCACCTCAGCTAAGAGACTGAGCATATAGGGGCTGTGACAGAGGGCAGGGGTGATGGTGTGTGTGTGTGTGTGTGTGTGTGTGTGTGTGTACACGTTCAGTTAGCAGAGGATTGTGCTGGGAGTGCAGGAGAGACCAGGAGCTAACAGGAAGAGTGATGATTCACTAATACACGGGGCTAGGAGGCTGCTAGCCTCTGGGCCCCCAGGCCTCCCTGCCTGCCCTGACCTGATTGCCTCAATACAAATGCTGTAGAAAGATTATTAAAGGCCTGAAAAAACCCTGCAAGCTCCAGGACTCTCCTTCACCTTTGTCTGCCCAGAGCATAGAGAAACTGCCCTGTGCCTTCCTGGCGCTGCACTAACCTACCCCAGCCTCCCAAACCTGCCTGCGGGGCCAGGACTGAGGTTTAGTTTTTAACCTGGTTAGATGGTAGCCCCGGCAACGAGGCCAGGCAGACGCTGTGCACTGGTTACCTGTTTGAACTGCAGAAAGGCAACCTTTCTCAGGCTTGGCTCCGTCCATCACTTCAGACCTAAATGATCTTGGTGACCTCTACAGATTCAGTTTTCTTGTAAACGGAGACAGAACTACAAGACGACATCATTATGTAAGTGCCCTGAGAAGTGAGATTATATAAGAAAAACTGTTAGTACAGGACATACATAGTAGCTCGCAATAAATACTGAATATCACCATCATCCTTCTGTTGTCCCCAGCCTTCTCCCCCATTTCCTCCTCCCCTGCCTGTGCTCCCTTTTTCTCCTCCTCCTTCTATTCCTCCCCCTACTTCCTCCCTGCACTTCCTCCCTCCACTTCCTTGTATTTCTCCCAGATTCCCTAGGTATGACTGTACTGCCCTTTGTATGCAGGTTTTCCCCCTCTCTGATCATTGGCCAGCTGATTGTGTTATGCCGGAATGAGATGCACTACCCTCCCCCCCCCAAAAAAAAAAGCAAGCCACACCACTAATCACAAGAGGAAACTGTATGCAAGCTCGAGCTTGGGCCCAACCGCACACCAGAGGCACCTGGGTGCCAGGAAGTGCCCAAAACAAAGGGAAGAGCATTATATAGTCCCTTTTTGGCGCGCAGGCCTCGGAACAAAGGGGTAGCTAGTGATCGGTTTGGCTGACCTTTACATGGCTTCCTAAATATGATGAGGTTGGCTTTCGGCCAAGGCGATTGGCCCCTACACTTTATCTATACAGGAATGCACAAGAATGCAGGTTCCACCCAGTGGGGAATAGAAACTTCTCCTGGAATGTCGGTTTTAAGAACATGGCACTGATTATGTGTTTCAATTGTTGATCTCCAGAAAGGACCTTTAGACATTAATGGCCATAGCACACTGCATGGAATAGATTTTACAGGAATTGGATCTCCTACAAATTTACAGGCTTGTGGTAACATTAAGGCACTGCAATATATCTGTAAGACCACTAAGGTCGCCTTACGAGTGGAGAGCCTTGCCGTGTGCTCAGTGTGCAAACACATTTCTAGTCTGGATAATATAATTCTGATGCTCTGCATCCTTGGACCATTTAATCCATACATTTGAGGAATAGTAGGATTCAGAGTTAGTCATCAAGTACAATCTCATTTGTAAATACATACAATGTGTTTGCTAATTTAGGAGGCAGCAGTGAAGGAGAAAAAGAGCTTACCGACTCAAATTTCTATTATCTGCTTGCCCTCCATTAGCGGCAATGTTCCTACTATCTTTGTTTCTATTCACAATCAACTGGTACAGCTCATAAGCACCAAAAGCATTCACTTCTCAGTTTATGGAAGATAAATTGATTAAGCTAGGCAAGGCAGAGAACTCTAACCTGGGGCTTGTGAAGTATTGGATTTATATGGCATTTAATTTACAAGACAAAATAAGTATGGCGCTGAAGGAGGAAGTTAAGAAATGGGTGTATGCAATCAGGTAGGAACAGGGTGCTCACCCCCAAAGTCCATTTATCGGCCTGATTGAAAAAAAACCCAGGAGGGTGACCCTTCCCATTCAATTAAAAATGGAATGTCCCAAACACCAACATAATAAATAGCGCAATAACAATGGACCAAAGCTGGTTTCTAAAATATGCTTCTGTAATGTGGGAAAATTCGGTGACTGTGACAGCCTCAGCAACGCCGTGGGCCCAGCCAATCAGCAAGAGACACAATGCAGACACCAAAGGCCAAATTGACGCAAGCTCTGCAGCTCTTGTCAACTGCAGAGGAGAAAAGAGACTTCCTAAAAGATGGGGAGGGACCTCTGCTGCTAGCTTGTGTTACAACTCCCCTTTTTGTATAGTCATAGTATCAAAAACATTCTGAGCAACCATTAGCTTACAACTGGGTTGCCTTAGCCTCATAAAATGGCTGCCTGGCTCGTGGAAGATACATGCTGTCCTAGGGCATAAAATTCCTCTGTCTCCTGAGACAGAAAACAAGCCCAGGAGATAAGACCCCCAGGCCATAAAGACTCATGGGCAGTTGCCTAACATTGTTTTAGCAGGGTTGCTTAATGTATGGCTGTATAAATTCCACTGAAATTAGCCTTTCCTTAAACAGTCACTAACTACTCTCTGCCAGCCTTATATTAGCCATTAGCCTTTCTTTAGACAATCACTAGACCGCTAACACAAAATTTATTCTTTTCCTAGACCCCTAACAACCCTTTGCCTAACATCAAATTCATCCTTTTCCAAGACCCCTTGTCCTTTGATTTATAGTTAACCATCTGTATACATGACTGCTATCAAAAATGTGTATAATTTAGTATACCATGAAAGGTCAAGAAAGAATGCATTGTTCCTCCTTAAAAAGTTTAATGGTAGGGCTCTCCCTGGTGGCGCAATGGGATAAAGCAACACATCATGAAGCTCTCCGAAGTCACTACAGCACAAGTTCAATCCCGGCCAGGGAGCTGACCCACATGGCATGGCAGACCTCTCTTGATCCACCTACTGCTCCCCTCAGCAGTGTATTTTGTCAGTCTGCCTGTTGTGCTCCCCACTCTGTCTCTGGTGAATCATCTCACCTACCACACCTGTGGCCTCTGCCCCAGTTCTGGAAGCATAAATAAATAAATCTTAAAAAAAAAAAAAGTGTAATGGTAAACTCATCATTATACCTTATACCTCACCTTATGCATTATTGTAATTAACTACTTGCTGCACAGTATCAATAAAGACCTGCTGAGAACTGAGGAGGAGACCCTTTCCCCCAAAATTGACTCCTGTGTCTCTCGCAGTCCCTCTCCCTCACCAATGCTATTTCCACCCTCAAAGATCCTGCCCTGCTATTTGTTGCTGCTGGTCTGTAACACCAAGTGCCCACGATGCCTATACAAGCACCTGCTGCTCGTAGCTTCATTGGCTACCCACTGGAGACCCCTTTCTGCTAGGTAGCTTTCCTGTCCTTCTTCCTATCTACCAATAAATCTCTTGCTTTCTGTTATTCTTGTCTCAAAGTTGAATTATTTCCATGACAAAAACAAGACCAGAGGAAAAACCCACCTGGGACCCTAAGACTCCAGGCCTGCTCCCTAAAACCCTGATTCAGTGCTTGATATCTATCAAGAACAAGATGCCAGACAAGTTATAGCAGATAATGCTATCAAAACTGAACATTTATACAGAATCCAATTACTAACCCTTTTGGAAGTGTTACAAAAAATAAAGAGGGAGCTGTACCTTTTCCCCAAAAAATAAATAAGAAACAACTATTATTTTTAGCCATGACAGTAGTGATAAAGAGTACAGATGGCAAAAGCCATTAACCATGTTCAGAATGTCACTAACAATTAAGGCAAATGTTTTTGTTTACTT